ATAGGAAAAGGGATTGGGATTTGATTATTCTTTATTGCTTGATTAATAATGAGATGGGAGTACAATATATAGAGATATGAAAACCCTAGTTAACCTAATGGGCTCGGGCCCATACTAAAATCCTAAACATGATTAACTATTGAATATTAAATGACTACTAATTAATAAATAATATAACTAATCTACTATCCGTATCATTCCCACCCCCTTAAAATTCCACCTTGTCCTCAAGGTGGAGGCTCCCACTCGTGTTTTAAGACCGGAGAAAGAGTGTTGAACCAAAGGAGTAGTCCACTCTTTGAATCTTCAATCATCTTGGATCTTAAAGCAAACCGATGGACATGTGAGATAGAGCCAATACCCAGTGTAGGTTCTCTCGGTGAAACTTGGTGCTTTGACTTGACCGCATCAACATTGTCAAACAACTTAATGGTGTCAAATGAAAAGGGGTTATCTGCCTGCTTATTATCTGCATTTGCCACCTTGTTGGCACCTTCTAGAAGGGCAAGCTCTGCAACGACTACATTAGTTGAGGCATTGACCAGATCGGTGTCCACATTAACAATATCTTTTGAAATATTACCTTCATTAATTTCAACGGCGTTGGACCTCTCGTCATCTTCATTCATGAGTTTAGGCCTACTGTCCATAGCATCCCCAACATGTGATTCAGCGCTTGAATCATCCTTTAATTCTTTTTCATGAGACTTAGTGTTTTGTACGGTGACCACAAGAGCTAAATTTGGTGGAGAGAGTGGCGCACTAGTGAGGTTCTGGATGACCTTCATCATGTTTGTTTTGAAATTTTGTAACTCCAACGGAATCAAACTCGGCAAAATTGGAGGATCACGAACTAAATCCTGTACCGAACAAAAAATTTCGATGTCGAGCGCATCATAATCAATTTGCCCTTTAAAATTATGGATCGACCTGAGCTTCATACTGATCTCATACACATGATCAAAAACCATACACACTCCTTCATCATGCTCAATTTCTCCATAAAGAACTTTTTCCAATAAATCAATGAGTTTGTCCAATGCACCCGTACATATAATCAAAGCCTCTAACCGTAGGAATCGAGCCTCCATTCTTGACGAAAAATCATGCTGCATGATGGACATCTTTTTTTTTCCTTGGACTTGCAAAAGCCGAAAACAATTTTGTAGCAAGAAAAAAAAATGATCTTACTATGATTAAGGCAGCAACAAATTTGGTCTTACTCCACAAAAGTTTGGGCAGCGACAAGCAAATTGAGCTTCTTGACTCCTGGATCAGCCGGCAATTGATTTCTTTTTAGCATCAGGACAGCCGGAATGTGCAGCGATCGACGGGCGGGTTTTTTTTTTCCGTCAACAGGCCCTTGAATCCTTACACCTTGTACTCCAAATAACACGCTTGCGGCTAAGAAGACTGATCGGCCCCCAAACAACTTCGTAGCAATTGGGTTCTGCAGTTGTGGCAGTGAACTGGGATTGCAGCGGCACAAGAATCCGGCAAGGGCAAAGGCGACTGCTAGAATATGTGAGCGGCGGAATCTGCCGGTGATTGTGATTAACTCTAGGGGCAGATGTTGCAGATCTGCGTTTTTTTTTGTTTTTTTTTTCGTTTTTTTGTTTTTTTTTTGGAAATTTCTCTCAATGAAAGCACCAATTGATACGAATAACGTATCGGATAGGGAAGAACTTCGAGCGTTCTTCAAGCTCCAAGAAGATGAGGTAGAGGAAGATGGAAAACTTCGAGCGTTTCCGAGCTCCAGGAGAATAGGAAAAGGGATTGGGATTTGATTATTCTTTATTGCTTGATTAATAATGAGATGGGAGTACAATATATAGAGATATGAAAACCCTAGTTAACCTAATGGGCTCGGGCCCATACTAAAATCCTAAACATGATTAACTATTGAATATTAAATGACTACTAATTAATAAATAATATA